GGTCCCGGTCGGGGTTGGCTTGATGTGCCTTCCTCTTGGCACGTTTCTCCCTTTTGCCTTCTATTCGTGCCTCTTCAAATTCTGCAGCACTGCTGGTCACAGCTGACCTCCAGCTGGAGCACTCAAAAGCCAGGGCTTCCCAATTCTCAGTGTCTATGCCAGAATTTTTAAGGTTGGCTTTGAGCCCATCTTTCAATCTCTTTTCCTGCCCACCAACATTTTGTTTTCCGTTCTTGAGTTCGGAGTAGAGCAACTGCTTTGGGAGACGGTGGTCGGGCATCCGGACAACGTGGCTGGTCCAGCGGAGTTTATGGTGGATGACCATCACTTCAATGCTGGTGGTCTTTGCTTCTTCTTCCAGCACGCTGACATATGTCCACTTGTGCACCAATCACTCAATCAATCAGTGATTTATTACGGTCTTTGACCAGCACAGTACAAAATGGGGCATTGGTGCCCAAGGAAGGGAATCGCAGTTCCCAAGTAGATCAGATATAAAAGCAGATTAAAAACATGTTATAAAAGGGACAAAAAGATAAAACAGACTAAACTTACAGTTTAAAGTGCATATATGAATCTAAAATAGGGGGTGGCTAATAACAAATATCAGACAACTGAGGAGCTCTAAAAGGGATGAGAGGGGAGCATTTACAGCATTTCAGTTATTACAAATCATTCTAACTATATTCCCGGCAGGAAGTTGCCTGGTAGAGGCACTTGTGCACCAGTTGCGCCTGTACCTTGGGAAGTCAGATCTGGCCACAGTGGTCCACGCTCTTGTTACATCCCGAATAGATTACTGCAACGCACTCTACGTGAGGTTGCCTTTGAAGACTGTTCGGAAACTTCAATTAGTCCAGCGGGAGGCAGCCAGATTGCTCACCGGAGCATCATACAGGGAGCATACCACCCCTCTGTTGTCAGCTCCACTGGCTGCCGATCCAGTTCCGAGCACAATTCAAAGTGCTGGTTTTGACCTACAAAACGCTATACGGCTCCGGCCCAGCGTACCTGTCCGAACGCAACTCCCTCTACGTCCCACCTCGGAGTTTGAGATCTTCTGAGGAGGCCCTGCTCTCGACCCCACCTCTATCACAAGTGAGATTGGTGGGGACGAGGAGCAGGGCCTTCTCGGTGGTGGCCCCTCACCTGTGGAATTCACTCCCTGGGGAAATTAGGTCATCGACATCCCTCCTCTCTTTCAGAAGGAAATTAAAAACATGGTTATGGGACCAGGCTTTCGGGCAATCTGGCGGTTAGATAAGGACAATGATGACCAGAATCGAGAGTACTTGACAATGTGGAATGAATTTACGGACTATGAGATGGCGAACGCTGAGCATTAGATTGTTTTTATTGATTTTAATGTATGGACTGACTGTCTTAATTGTTATAATTGCTGTTTACATGTTTTATCCATTGTTATGTTTATGTTGGCATCGAACTGTGTCTTTGTAAGCCGCCCTGAGTCCCCCCTTGGGGGTTGAGAAGGGCGGGGTAGAAATGCGCGAAATAAATAAATAAAGAGGCTCCTCCTTTTACGAGTTAGTTTGATTAGAATCATAGAATCATAGAATCAAAGAGTTGGAAGAGACCTCCTGGGCCATCCAGTCCAACCCCATTCTGCCAAGAAGCAGGAATATTGCATTCAAATCACCCCTGACAGATGGCCATCCAGCCTCTGTTTAAAAGCTTCCAAAGAAGGAGCCTCCACCATACTCCGGGGCAGAGAGTTCCACTGCTGAACAGCTCTCACAGTCAGGAAGTTCTTCCTCATGTTCAGATGGAATCTCCTCTCTTGTAGTTTGAAGCCATTTGCATCATTATTCCATTTGCTATTTTTGCTGAAGTTTATAGCAATAAGACCTTTGTGTATTGACACTGTATTTATAGATATCTCTGTACTTACTTACTTAGGCGATACCTTGTAGTCCGAGGATGATGGTCCTCCAAGTGTAGTGTCTTGGTGGTGGGTCCGTAGGTGGCTGTGGAGCCCTCTTCTTGACCTGCATCTTCCCCCACAGTGAGGGCATTGGTTTCCAGGTTGAAGGTGGTCCCGGTCGGGGTTGGCTTGATGCGCCTTCCTCTTGGCACATTTCTCACCTTCGCCCTCCACTCATGCCTCTTCAAATTCCACAGCACTGCTGGTCACAGCTGACCTCCAGCTGGAGCACTCAAGGGCCAAGACTTCCTAGTTCTCAGTGTCTATGCCAGAGTTTTGAAGGTTGGCTTTGAGCCCGTCTTTCAATCTCTTTTCCTGCCCCAATATTCCGTTTTCCGTTCTTGAGTTCGGAGTAGAGCAACTGCTTTGGGAGACGGTGGTCGGGCATCCGAACAACGTGGCCGGTCCAGTGGAGTTGATGGCAGAGGACCATCGCTTCAATGCTGGTGGTCTTTGCTTCTTCCAGCACGCTGACGTTTGTCCACCTGTCTTCCCAAGAGATTTGCAGGATTTTCCGGAGGCAGCGCTGATGGAATCGTTCCAGGAGTTGCATGTGACATCTGTAGACAGTCCACGTTTCACAGGCATATAGCAGGGTTGGGAGGACAATAGCTTTATAAACAAGCACCACACCAGTTTGTTGCAAAAACACATAAAAATAAATGAAAAAGCAGGAATAAGGAAACAAGATGTGTCATCCAAAAGCGGGTTAGCAATAGGTGATGACCAGACAGTAATCCAAATGTCTTGTGCAAATCTCAAGTAATATAGTCCAGGAGTAGCCAGAAAGTCACAGCATAAGTCCACAAGCAAAGGTATGCTTAGTAAAACTTGAGCAAGAATACAAAACGAGAATATAGAAAACTTTCAGGATGCCAAGGTTTGATTTGAAACAAGAACCAAAGAATACAGGCCTAGCTTCTTCACTTGAATGCTACGTTGCCTGAACTAACTCTCAGGTAAACAACTTGCTAATTAATAGGCAACCATGAAGTCATTTCTTTTCCCACGAATTCTCTCCTCCACTTTCCCACATAAGCACTTTGACTGGGACCGCCTATTTTCTGCTCTAATCTGTAAACAAAGACTTTTGTTGACCTCCATAGCCCCGGGATCCTTCCATATCACTTAGCTCTTTGCCCGATTCCTTATCTAATGTTGCAGTTTCTGGCTCCGCTTCCTGACCTTGGAGCCTTACACTTTCTGAATCAGTTTTTTTTTTTCTCAGAGAGAGCCATCATTTCTTTGGCTTGAATTTTCATCACTTTGTACCACAGGAAATCTCACAGGAAATCCCACAATTCTCTCAACTTTGTACCCTAGGAAATCTCACAGGAAATCCCACAATCTCTCAACCGTCAGTGAACCCATCAGCCTTAGGTTGTACTGCAACACTCCATTGCTGGAGGAACTTTGGAGTAACATAGGCATGGACAGACTTTGGCCCTCCAGGCGTTTTGGACTTCAACGTCCACATTTCCTAACAGACGATAAACTGGTTGGGATTTCTAGGAGTTGAAGTCCACAATACCTGGACGCAGAGGTGGCTCTAGGTAATTTTCAATGGTAAGCAAACAGTATTTTGCCCCCCCCCCCCAATCAATCACTGATATATATTTTCTGTTTGTCGTTGTTGCAACTCAGAGTAAGCTTCGCCTTGCTTCCAAACACCACCACACAAGAGCTGTAGTTTTATAATTTATTGAGGAAAAAGTCCAAGTCAAAATAAAGAATAAGCATTGCAAAGTTCCAAAGATTTAGGTTAAATGCAGAGTATAGTTCCAAAGATCTTCAGGTAAAAACAAGAGGCACAATCCTTTAGGCAAAGTTCAAACCAGAGTCCCAGGTACAAGCAGTGAAACAATTGCCCCAAGAATCACAATGCAAGAAATCCCAAGCGTGCTGCTTTCCAGGCTAAGGTTATTCCATGGAGCTTCCAGGCTAACAAGCTACGTTGAACTGATGCTTTCTCTTTGTTTGCAAGAAGCCTAAATACCTTTCTAACATGAAAACATTATGCTCTCACCAACATGAAAGCATTGCGATGACCTTTCCCCGAGCTGGCTTCTCGTCTGCCGGTCAGGTGAGAATTCCGCCTGACCCGCAAATCAAGACGGGCTTGCCGGGTCAGGTCACTATCAAGGCTTTCTGCACTTTCACTATCAGCGTGGGAAGGAGGCAAAGGCCTCTCCACCTGTTCGCTATCTACTTCGTTAAAATTCTTTTCTTCTGAGAACCGCTGTGTTGACTCTGCACTGTCTGTGGGAGCCTCAGAAAAAGACCTAGAAGCAGGCCCAGAGATCTGAGGCACAGAAAAAGAGCCAGGAATCTGAATCCCATCATCCTCATCATCAGAGAACATCTCAGCCACAACGGTTGTGGGAGTTCTGTGTGCCATATTTGGTTCAATTCCATCATTGGTGGAGTTCAGAATGCTCTTTGATTGTAGGTGAACTATACATC